CGGGAAGAAATAACAGTGTTTTTTACTGTCATTTGAGAATATATAATTTTAATATGAAACGAAAAAAAAATCATCAAAATTTTTGTCTTGAAGGTTCTATATTATTTTGAACTGGTGGGAACTTTGCATTTTTAGGGAGCAGATCCCTACATGCGTGGAAGTTTTTTCAAAATGCCCGAAAAGAAGAAAAAATGTGAAGAATTTTGTGTTGACTCATTCTGTGTCAGAAATTTTCATATCTATGCATGGTTTTTATTGCTAAAAGTTGTGATTAGTTCCAAATATTTATGAAATTTAGAATGAAATTAATCAATGATTATTAGTTAATAATTTATACTGAAAACACATTTTTTCTTCGACGCTATGCAGCACAAAGAAACTAAAGATGCTGTAAATATTGGCCGCCGTTGGGTCTATGTGTAATTTAAAACTCGTATTCATCTACATATTTTAGAATGTACTTCATTTACCAAATCTATATTACGAAGAACAGATATTTGCCTGGTATTGATATTTTCCTGATTTTGATAATTTCCTAAAATCGATATTTTGCAGGTATCAATATTTTCCTGTTATTAATATTTTCCTGGCTTTGATATTTTCCTGATATCGATATTTTCCTGAAATCGATATTTTCTTGATATCGATATTTTCATGAATTTGATATTTTCTTGATATCGATGTTTCCCTGATATCGATATTTTCCTGATTTTGATATTTTCTTGAAGTCAATGTTTTCCTGATATCAATATTTTCCTGATTTTTATATTTTCTTGAAGTCAATGTTTTCCTGATATCGATATTTTCCTGATATCAATATTTTTTATGATATTGACAATTTCCGGATATCGATTTTTTCTTGATATCGATATTTTACTGGCATGGATATTTACCTCATAATTATTGTTTCCTGATATCGATTTTCCTGATATCGTAATAGATAGTAATTTTCCTGATAGTAATATATTCCCGATATCGATATTTTACTGATAATGACATTTTTCTGATATCAATATTTTCCCGATATCGATATTTTCCTGATATCGATTTTTCCCGATGTCGATAATTCCTGGTATCGATAAATTCCTGATATCGCTATTTAATGATATCGACAGTTTCTTGATGTCGATATTATCCTGATATCGATATTTTCCTGGTGTCAATTTTTTTCATCATATCAATACTTTCCTGATATCAATATTTTTTTGATATCAATACTTTCCCGATATCGATGTTTTCCTGATATCGATATTTACCGGATATTGCTATTTTCCTGATAATGATATTTTCCTGATATCGCTATTTTCTTGATGTCAATGTTTTCCTGATATCACTATTTTCCTGATATTGATATTTCCCTGATATCGATAATATCCTGATATCGATTTTCTATATGACATCGATATCATTGACAGAGCCCACCATTCACTCAGTGAAGTAGAGAGGACATATTGACCACATACTGACACATTTACTTATCCACAGCACGGAAACAGATCGTACGAAGCAATGAAATGCACTTTTTCTACCTGGCCAGACTCGGTCAGAATTTGCTGCACGAGGCTAAGAAGTGCGTCTCGATTTGGACGAAGTCTCACTCGTTTTTCTGTGTGTTCAGCTAAACTCGTCCCTTTCTCAGTTAAACTCGGCGTCCCAGGATGAGTTCAACTCGGCGTCCCACCGTGACTCTCAAACTGTTCAACTGCAACTCCGTGGGGGCGGCAGTGTCCAGTATCAGGAGCTCGCCGTCAGCCCTGATTACATCCTTTGTTTGAAGTCCGTAGCGACGGTTTTAGTAGCCGCCACCTCCTCGGAGTGCCGCCAGGTGGCAGCCGCTGCAGGTGCGTAAAAAATTTGGTGCTGCAGGTGCTGAGTAGATGGGGAGCCAGCAGGTGCTGAGTAGATTGGTTGACTGTAGGTGCTGGGTAAATTGGCTTCAGCGCAGGAATATGCGAAATGACGTCATTATTATTATTGAAAATATGGTATCACTAAGAGTACATAGATTACATTCTAATATATTGATATAGTAAACCAAATAATTGAAAAGTCCTTCTTAAAAAGTAATGAAATTGAGTAAATTGGTAGATGAATGCATGAGATGTAAATAGGCAAAATAATAGTTAAGTAAGATAAGGACTTGGTTTATATTGAAATGGCGAAGGCGACTCTTTTTTCGGTAAATATTTATAGAACTCGAAATTTAACTTCAAGAAGTTGCATTAATCCGTAAAAAGAGTTTTTAGATTGAGATTTTTTATGAAGTTTTTTAATAATTTATAAATTGAAGTAATTCCAAAATATGTAAAAATGTAAAAATACTTTGAATGTTTTCAAAATAGAAACCTTTAAAGGGAGCGTTTGGGTCCAAAAGTCAAATTTTCGGCTTTTCTGGTTTTTAATCTCATCTTAAAGCTTACTTTCTGACGCATCGAACGGTACTAGAACCATCTCTGTACGTTGATTTATGCGTTCACTACAGATCCCGTAAGGGGGAAGGGGGGGCATCAGTAATTCCAAAGTGGGAAATTAACTATAAAATGTCCTATCCACTCGGCTAGAGCTCAGTAACCTCACAGACAGCACGCTGGATGGTGTTCATTCAGTGGCTCTATGCACCGATGAATGACTTTGAAGTGAGTTGACGCTTACTTTCGATATCTAGGCTACGTTACGTGCCTTTACGTGCCGCGCAGCGGTTTTTTGTCTCTACTGAAAAGTTGCCAAAGCTGAAAATCTCTCCCACGGCAATCCTATCTCCTCGTACAGTTTTGAAGCTACAGCAATTCGAGATATACTGTTCGATTTGCAAAGAAAAGATCTACAAAACCTTGCATAAATTTTCCTAATTTCGTTATAGTTTGGATTTTATAATGCAAAAAAGGGGGAAAGGTGGCGGCGGTAAAATCGAGAAAATTCGAAATTTTATGAAAAATGCTCCCACACCCACAAAACTAAAAATTTCAAAAAACGTATGCGGCGTTTTATAGATCTAGTCTTTACGCATCAAATGATATGTAACTCGATGTTTTAGCTTAAAAACCCTAGGAGGAAATAGAATTCTAAAGTATCCTCTTTTTGGTTCGTTTTCTAAGAATTTCACGCTTTCTTTCATTTATTTCGAAAAATTTACATGGACAATAAAATTTTCTCTTTTGGTTTTACACATGTGTACCAAGTTTCAGACTGATCCGTCTGTAAATAGCTGAGATAAAATTTTGCCCAGACGCTCTCCTTAAATACTTGAAATCAAAACCCTCGATCTTCTAATGAATAGAGGAAATATATTGATTTTGCACTACTTATACTATACCACATTGTACCTTAAGATTGATACCACAGAGTACAATTCGTCCCCTGCTCATATTACCTCATGTTTGATGCCACAGCGTACAATTCGTCCCCTGCTCATATTACCTGATGTTTGATGCCACAGCGTACAATTCGTTCCCCTGCTCATACTACCTCATGTTTGATGCCACAGCGTACAATTCGTTCCCCTGCTCATACTACCTAAAACCGCATACAGAAAAAACGGTTCCAATAGGAGAAAATTACAAGTTGCTTCTATCTCCAACGAATTTCAGAGGGAGAGCGTTAAATTAGGGAAAATTATTCGTGCCAACCTCATTTAGTCACCCAGTGTTAACTTTAACCCTATAATTAGTAATATTATTACTAATAATATTATTGATTATAGTCTAGGCGTAAAATGGGCTTCATTTTTGCATTACAATGACTCTACACCTCGCTGAATTTGTATAGCCAGCTAGGCATTTGAACCCGTAGTTCACTGCACCAAAATTGATGTTTTAACCATTCGGCCATCATTCAAATTTTAACCATAATTTTTGTAGCTAGCACGGATCAAACCCGCAGCACACTGCCTAAATTTTGGGGGCTCATAATTTCACCCACTTGGCTTCTCTGCCATGTTATTAGTTTCATCTCAAATGTAATTAGAGATATTATTTTATAACGATAACAAATGTAACAAAAAAGTCTAATGTAATCATAGAAGAGCATACACAAATTCTATCTCATTGATATGCAGTCGAGTTTGGTTTTTGAGAATAAACGTACGTTTGCAGGCTTCTTACCAGTTTAAAAAATTTGACTTTGATATGAAAATAACAGTTATTACTCTTTGTTTCATGTAGCTACTGTGATACAAGACTTCTGGATCACTGACTTCCAACTTGGACAAAACTTCAAGGTGCAATACATCGCTGCCTGTTCAGCATACTTCACTTTCAGCCTCAAAGTCGGGAGTAAAAGCGTTGGTGCTGTTAAGTCCGGCGACGTAATTTCGTACAACGTACTACCCTGCACAGCCATGACGTTCACTCTCACCCCATCCTACGGGGGAGTTGTTGGAACGTCAAAGACGTTTAAGATCAAAACTCCTAGTGGTGAGCTTTGAATTTACTGCTAGAAATTTTCAGCTAAATATAGGTGGAAGTTTTAGAATAAAGCCAGGAAAAAATATTAGTTTTTTCTGAATTCTGGTAATATCGTCCGAGATTTATTTGATTTAATTCTGAATGAGACTTTGTCTTAAAAGCACTGCATTATATGCTTTTGTGTGGGTTATTTCGGCCTAGTTTGGCGTAAATGTGTTTGTGCTGTCCTCATGAGTGTGTTTGTGCTGTCCTCATGAGTGTGTTTGTGCTGTCCTCATGAGTGTGTTTGTGCTGTCTTCATGAGTGTGTTTGTGCTGTCCTCATCATGAGTGTGTTTGTGCTGTCCTCATGAGTGTGTTTGTGCTGTCCTCATGAGTGTGTTTGTGCTGTCTTCATGAGTGTGTTTGTGCTGTCCTCATGAGTGTGTTTGTGCTGTTCTCGTGAGTAAGTTTGTTCTGTACTTGCATGAGTGTTGGTGCTCGAAAACTGTTTTTCCTACCATATAACCATTTTGAATCTGCAGAACATACAAAAACGTTAAAGTGTTACTGTTTATTCGTGAAACCTTGCATAATACCCGGAAATTATTTGTTTCAGTTCCGGATATTACTTCGTTCATTATAGACAACATAAATCTGCACGAATCCTTCGATCTTCACTACATCGCCGTTTGCCCTAACGCGTACTGCTATGGTATCAGCGTGAATAACATCAACCTTCAATACCCAGTGACAAGGGATACCAGAGTAAACCAATGGTTACCGCCCTGCACTGAACTGACGTTCACCCTCCATGCCCTGAACTGTGCCGATGAATCTTACGCCGAATACTCAACGAGCTTGTTGCCATTCCATACAAGTCAAGGTACTCGTATATTCATTTTTTTGATAAATCATGTTATTGCAAATTTGTTTTATTTTAATTTATTATTAATAATTTATGTCATACTAGCAATTTTTTCTCTCTGCTTGATGGGCGTTTCCAAGTTCATGAACGCTGATACACAAAAGGCATAATTGGATGCAGATAATCAGAAATGACTGAAGCTGGAAGCAAGTCAAATTTCGTTGTCGTGAAGTTTTTTGTCTCTACGGGAATTCAAGGTTTTGCGGAATTCTTTAGCTCTAGGGAAATTGTGGTCGTGCTTTGTCGTTATGACAAGTGTTTTGCTGCTAACTGTCAAGTGCATTGTCGTTTTGACAGTTAACGTCGTCGAGAAGTTATTTATAACATTGGTAACTAACGAGTTGAAAAGCTCTTTATCTCTTTGTTAATAGACGGTGTAGAGAATGTCTTCGTCGTTGTGGCAATTGACGTCGTCGTTAAGTTTTTTATAGTTTTTTTAATTCATGGCTTCGCGAAGCTCTTTGTCACTACGTTAATTGACATGTTCGTGAGCTTATTTGTAGCTATGATACATGTGTGTCCCGGAGTCATGAATTTCGTCATAAATGAGATCATTATCGGCGCTGTTAAGTGATTCGTTGTTACCGCACTCGACGGAGTCGATTGCGGCGAAGTTCTTCGCCGCTATATACGATTCCATGTTGCGTTTTTCCTTCCCGACAGCTTTGGGTTTACGGTTGCCACTAGATCGATTTGAACATAAATTATTGGCTCTGTGCCCGCATCATCCGAATTTTTTTGAGCGAAATTAGCACCTAATCAGAAAATTGTAAATACCCTAACGGTCGTGGGGCAACTGAGGAGCGCATGACCTGACACTTTCTTTGGCAGAAATGGTCGAATGTAGTAAGGGGGGGGGTTAGGGTTTGGGGATTTTATCACATAAGTTGTATTTCGAATATTCACGTCCTATAGAATATTACAGAACAAAATAACATGGAAGAAATTGTATCATCGATGCACAAGGAAGCAACTTGCTAATTTGAACCGATTATAATATTGGTAATTAGGACTTTCAAGAACAACATTCCACATCACCCACAGCCAAACATTCTTCAACATTAACCAGCGCTCAACATTTTCTTGCATTCACGAGCGTTCAACCTTCTCCCACACTGCAAAAAGCCAAATTTTATGCAACAATCACCAGAACCCGAAATTCTCCAATATTCGCCAACGCTAATTGTTCGCCTACATTTTCTAGTACTAAACACTCTATCCTATTCACCCGAACCAAACGTTTTTACTTATCCCGGGTACCTAACATTATCCAAATATACCTGTGCATACCAATAAATATAATTCCCTCACATATACCAGATTCATATATTTCCTTATAATCACCTTAAGATCCCCCCAGCTAACATACCCAGAGTGTTTAGGGACACACACCCAAAGCCATGTTGAAAGCCCCACTTTTATGACGGCGACTAAGCGCCGTCCACTAGCGACACCGAGACTTTAACTGAGCTTCCCGGGGCTCGAACCCACGCCTAGCTTCTCATCTCGATGCCGCGGTGCCGACATCACTGCGCATATATGCGCGGCTCCACACAACCACCTCCTACGACAGCATTCGGCAACCTGACCACGCGACGCTTGCCGCACACATATAAGCGCGTCAAGCGCGTCGAGGAAACACCAAGTGTTTCAAAACGGGGGGTCTTTTTATCTCAGTGTACATCGGCGCTTACCACTGCGCTACCGGTACCAAGCGCCACCAAAATTGATTCTGGTGACATTCACCAGCATCAAAAATTTATTCCCATTCACCACTCATCAGTAGCAAACCTCCTACATACAATAGTACCGAAATTACATGTCACACACCAGTGCCAAGCATTTTCCCGCAATAATCAAACCTGACTGTCCTCCCACAACATTCACAAGCAACAGCCTCGTGTATCTACTAGATTCAATTTAAAGCATAGTCTTGATTTGAAAGTAGTGATAATGCAATAAAGCGCGGTTTGAATAGGGAAGCTAATTCTTGTATATGCAGGGATGGAATAAGCCAGACAAATGGCACCATACTTCGAACGCAATAGCATCTCCGCTGCATTGCTTCAAACCAGGGTAATGGGTAACCCCACCTTTGCCGAGGAACCGTAATAAGGGTTGTTTCAACATCAATGCTTCTGCAGCGGGTTGTTGAAGTCATGTATACATGTTACGTTCGCATACCTATGTACCGTGCCAACACGCGACGCTCGCATGTTGCCGTAGAGGTAACGCAAGCTTGTTTTAGATAACGCAATGCCTGCGTGTTGCTGTACAAACATGCAAGCGTGTTGACATATGAGCATCGTACGCGTATTGAAGACAACGCAATGCCCGCGGGTTTTGCTAAACACAGGCAATGCCAGCGCGATGACGGACATGCATTGCATGCTTGTTGAAGTGAAGCTTGCACTACTATCACGTGAGCATAACGTACTCATCACAAGCGTATTAAAGATATATTAATGCAAGTATGTCAACGAAAACTCAACGTTCTAGTGTAGAAACGCTTGCGTGCTCATAAGTACGAACGCATGCACATGCATCGTCAAGACTAAGGCAGGAGCTAGGTTCGCTATAGTGCTATGAACTCATGCAGCTACTGAACAGGGTGAGCATGGGGCAGCCTGACCAGTCGCTTATTTCTGGTGGCAATCGGCCTTATTTTTTTTGCCATTGAACCACCTAGATTAGTTCCTAATTTAGCGGCTGAATAAAGTAGACGGCCGATTCATGTCTGATTTACCTCTAAGGTAACCCTATCGAACTTTTGATTCCTGTCAGCCGCTGGCTCAAGGACGCCTCAAGCTCGCCTAGCGCATAAATTATAGGCTCTATGTCCGCTTTAGGTTCTGGTTGTACTGTACGAGGGAAATAAGCGCCTGATTAGGATCCGGTCCATTCTTTGACAACCATGGGGCGACTGCAGGGCGCGCGTATTGGTACCTGATACGTTTGGGGCAGACATGGCCGAATCTGAAAAATGCGTCAAAAAATGCCCCCTCCCTTCCCCCCTTTAAAGTTAAAGACCCTCTCCCTCCCTGAATGACGCAATGAATGTCCCTCCTTATCATCCTAGACATGTATCATCGCGGCACAATGAAGCAAGTGGCAAGTAAACACGAGTTCAAATGGGAATAATATCTGTTAATACAACATTCAATCACACCCACCTCATTTCCCACAACATTCTCTAATATTTACCTGAATTGCAAAACCATCGCACATTGCCCGAGCAAAATAATCTTCAATATTCACCAGCGGTCAGCATTCTCACACGTTGCCCAAAACCAAACATTTTTCAATATGCAATAGCACTCAAAGAAATCGAAGTAAAACTTTAGATTAAGTGCATCCAAAAGAAGGGTGTTTTTTTAATTATATTTTTTTTGGGGTGTAGATTAAAAACCTGAAATCCGTTTTTGGCGGTTGGCATGGGAAACCCGATTTTTCCCCCGAGGCTCTAATTCTTCAAAAAAATTGGGCAAAAATCGGCGAAATCGGCGAAAAAACCTAACCTAACCAAACCTAACCGTGGTTGCAATGTCGTGGTTGCCTGCAATGTCGTGGTTGCAAGAGTATATGGGTCACCGAGGCTAAGTTAAAAACGCTATAAATCCACGGATATTGGGGCCAAGATTTAACTTGTATTTTATCTTACAAAATATATAAAACAAATCGGAAAAAATCGGTTTTCCGATGCCGACCGCCAAAAACGGATTTCAGATTTTTTATCTACACCCCAAAAAACATATAATTAAATAAAACACCCTTTTTTGGATGCACTTAATCTAAAGTAATACCGAAATCGAAAATCACCCAACTCATAATACTCCGATTCCACTCTGGTACCAAACCCAATGATAAAACGAAAAACAAGCATATAATTACAAAGAACCAGCAAAATGATTACTTACGGAGTTGAGACTAGGATTTCTATCCATGTTTGTACGCGTTCCTCTTGCAGCGGAACGGTGACTGGTGCAGACTAAACTCAACCATGCAATTGAACTCGTAGATGAACTGGCATTCCCATAGATGAATCCAACTTTCTCGATGAATTAGAAACTAAAACCTTAAGAATATGGACACGAACCGTTGAAATATCATGATCATTTAAGCATATGCCTCGAGTTAAAAGTTTCCATTACTGACAGTTTCAAAATCTCTGAAGTCAAGTTGAAGCCGGCATCATGGCGCCATTATATTCGCGTAGTGCCGCTATCGGTGTCGTGTTTTTCTATGAACTCCACTTGCAGAACCATTGTGCATGAAAACGAATACATTTCTAGTTTCTAATAATGTTCAGCTTTTAAAATCTATAATTTTCGAGTCTAATACATCACAAGTTCACTTTTCCCTCTACGATTACAGGATTGAAATGAGCAACGTTCGTCGTTGAACGTGTGATCATCACTAGTACCACTAGCGAACTAACGCCGGGCGTCCGCAAGGTAAACGCACCGTGTAGTGTCTTGTACGACGCTGTTCACTCACTCCCTCAAGCTGCATCACGTTACCCAGGAATAATATTTGAACATTTAACGAGGCTAGCAACAAATTTAGCCCTGCGAACATGATAAAGTAACTATGAGGAACAAGAACCATAAAGCAATGACCAGGTTTTGTCATCGAGGTTGTTTGAACTAATGATTAAACTTTTTTTTTAATTCGTTCAAAAAGTAGTAACCCTAGGTGCCTGAGCAGAGTTATGTACGTTATGTATGACACTCACACCCAGTAACCGCCATTGAATGAAACGATCTCGATTCACTGAAGGAATTATGTGAACCGCACCAAAATATGAAGCAATTGTGAACCTCACATGAAAATATTGAAATTTTTTAGACCTTACTGAACATCGGAAGGTACATTGTTCAATGCCTGTTATCAGGCAATGCGCTGTCATCACAATATCAAGCAGTTTCATCGCAAATCATAGTGACCTGAACATTTGATAAAATACTTGTAGGCCCTGAATGCAAAATCGAACTGTCATCGGTTGCTTTTTCTGTCAATTAACAGCTTACATATTAGTTATGTGTGTTATGACAAGAATTAGAAATTTATCTCATGGAGCTACAAGCATTATTTTTACTGCCTCGTACTTATCAAGTATTTTTCTGCTCCTTCGCCCCTTAATCAGATTTCCATGCTTTCAAGTATCCTGCGGTTTAGAAAGACAGCCAAATAAATCCAGATATTTTTGTTCAATAATTATTGAAATGATTATCTTACAACACGTAAGCTTAGAAAATTGGGAAAATCAATTCTCATATCGTTCCATCGTATGCCTTGACAAACGTTCTCATGTACATACATCGACGCCATATGAAGAGCGGGAGATGGTCAAGGTTCGCTCAAATAATAACGTCTGCCCACAGAAGCCTGGCCAGCTGCTTTTTTCCGGCTGGTTTCGTATATTCGCCCTATCGGCTACCGACTCCCGCAATCGGCTCGTGAATAGCAGTTGGGTGGTCTATATGCAGTTAGGTGGTCTATAGGCGCCTGAGTCACCTCTAAGGCAACTGTATATAATCTGGGGCGGCCGTTAATGGCCGCTCTGATTCCGAATTTTGATTTTTGATTGGGTAATTGAGGGAATCGTGAAGTTTTCTGTCCCGACGCTAATTGATGTCATCGTGATGTTCATTGTCGCTGCAGTCATTGACGTCGGGGTGAAGTTCTTGTTACTAAGATAATTTGGGCCGTCGTGAAGTTTTCTGTCCCTACGCTAAGTGATGTCGTCGTGATGTTCATTGTCGCTGCAGTCATTGATGTCGTGGTGAAGTTCTTGTTACTAAGATAATTTGGATCGTCTTGAAGTTTTCCGTCACTGCGTTAGTTGGCGGGTAAAAGTATTATCTTGACTGCTGTTAAAATATTTGTTATTTGACTTTTTGTAACAAATAATATACTTTCTTTATCGTCATTTTGCATTATAAATTATAAATTTTTCTCTGCATTAGATTGTGTGTAAATTGCTTGAAATTAGGGTGAAGACGTCTATCTTAAAGAAAAATTCCTTTATGTTGTCACTGATGAATAGCAAATTCTTTTCATTATGTAAAATTATATGAAAATTTTTGCAAAAATATAACATGCACTTGAGCATCTAGGAAAGACGAATAACTCTGTTTTTTCCAAAAGTATTATTGGTAGAATTTTTGAAATTCTTCATAAAATTAGATGAGTATCATATTTCCTATAATTTTATGAAAAAAAATTAAATCTTTTATCGTAGTAGAACCTGTTCATTGCCTATACTAGTGTGAACTATTTTAAGATATTTCCAGCGTGCAACCCTGCCCACACTATAACCCATGCAAGTGTTTTCTGTAGTGAGCACTCGTCTGATGTGTTTCATTTAAGATGCGTTTGAATAACATTTAATAACTCAAAATAAAATTGGTGATAACCGGAAATCATTTGTTGCAGCTCCGGATGTTTATGCGTTCACTGTAGATAACATAATACTGCACGAATCATTCGATGTTCACTTCATCGCCGAGTGCCCTGACGTGTACTGTTACGGAATCAGCGTGAACGACGTCAGCATTCAATACCCAGTGACTACGGATACCACTGTTAATTATGATGTACCGCCCTGCACTGACTTGACGTTCACCCTCTACGCCAAGAACTGCGCCGATGACTCCGACACCGGATACTCAACCAGCTTGTGGCCGTACCACACAGATCCAGGTAGAGTTTGCAATTTATTATGATTAATGTAAATGCAACTTTATTTTCATCTGAATTTGTTATTATAAGTTTATGAATTATGACAAATTTTCTTGTGTTTGCTAGTTGGAGGGAATAAAACCTGATCCATGAATGAAGATCCACGATCAAGGCATGACTATCTGCAAATTGCTAAAGGCTTCAAGTTTGTACCACGTCAATTACGTAGCCTTGTCTATAGTTATTTCTTCAACACTTGTACTTGAACACTTGCACTTGGCATCGTCGTAAAGTTCTTTATCACTATGGTAATTGTGTGCATCGTGAAGTGCTTTGCAGCAACTCTAATTGACGGCATCATGAATTTTTCAACTTAAATTGATGTGGTCGTGAAGTTTCTCGCTGCAACAGTAACTGCCAGCGACGTGTATTTCATCGACGACTCTGTATTTCTTGGCGTGGTGATGATCTTCGTCGCTACGACAACTGATAATGTTATTAAGTTCTCTGTCAGTATGGTAATTATCGGCGTCATTAATTTGTTCGCCGCTACCGTAATTGACGGCGGCATGAATTTCTCTGTCACGACAGTAATAGTGTGCGTCGTGGAGTTCTTTGTCTCTCTTAAACTGACTTCGTCGTGAAAAGCTTCGTCGCTACGACAATTGAAGTCGTCGTGAAGTTATTAGTTGCTACTGTAATCGATGTCATTGTTAAGTTCTCTGTCGCTACCGTAATTCTCGGCATTGTGAAGCTCATTGTCGCTAGAGTTATTTATGGCGTCTTGAATTTCTTTGTCGCTTTGATCATTGATGTCGTCGTGAAGCGATCTGCTGCTAAGGTAATTGATGTTGTTCTAAAGTTCTTTGACACTAAGATAATTTTCGTCGTCAGTAAGTTTTTTTTCGTCTCGGTAATTGCCGACATTGAGAATTTCTTCTTCAAACTGAAATTTTCAGCGTCGTCAAAATATCCCACGATTCTGGAATAAAATGCGAAGAGAATTTTTGCCGTAACAGAAATCGACGTCGTCGTAAAGTTTCTTGTTGCTACGGCAATTCGCGGCGTTTTGAAACTCTTCATCGCTGTTGTAATCTATGGTGTCTTGAAATTCTTCGTCTCTTTGGTCATTGATTTGTCGTGGAGTTATTTGCTTCTACGGTAAATTACGTCGCTGTACAATTCTTCGTTTGCGTCATTAAGACGCAAACTTTGTGTCACTTCGATAATATCTGTCGTCGTGATATTCTTGGTGACTTCAGTAATTGGCGGGCAAGGGAATCGGTTTGGGTACTGGTATAAGAAATGTCTATGCTTGTTTGGCTTTAACAAATGATATAATTTTGTATACCAGTTCTGCGCTCCAAATTTGTATAAATTCTTTTTCTGGTGGTAGATTGCATATTCAACAGCTGCAGTTTCAGTGAAGTCAATTTTCGTTAAAAAAATTGTTCCGTATCATGCATATGAATCATAAATTACATTCAATATGTTAAATTACATATGACTTAATGCAAAAATATAGCATGCACTTAAAAATCAGTGGATCGTGAATACCTCCATGTTTTCCCAACAGTTTTCTAGTTATTATTTTTGTAATTCGTCTATAGTTGTAAATGTATGCTTTCTTTGTTGTCATCTCATGCAAAATATTTGACCGTTGTCGAATCTGAACATATTACCCCTCCTACTGCATAATTGTGCATGCCATCCTCGTTCAGCGAACAAACTCGCCCACACAGATTCAACAGTGCTGTGGAGCGCACTCGTATGATGTATTTCATTTATGATGTATGTGAAAACCATAAAATAAATAATAATAAATTTGGTTGATAACCGGAAATTATTTGTTTCAGCTGCGGATATTACTTCGTTCACTGTAGATAGCGTAAATCTGCAACAATCTTTCGATGTTCACTTCACCGCCGCGTGCCCTGACGCATACTGCTATGGTATCAGCGTGAATGACGTCAGCATTCAATACCCAGTGACAACGGATACCACAGTTACTTATGATGTACCGCCCTGCACTGACTTGACGTTCACCCTCTACGCCAAGAACTGCGCCGATGGATCCGACGCCGGATACTCAACGAGCTTGATGCCATACCACACAGATCCAGGTAGCGTTCATTATTTATGGTAAATTATGTAATTGCAAGTTCTTTTTCATCTAAATTTGTCATTAATAGTTTATCCAACATGACAATTCTTCTTCCATTTGCTAGATGGAGAGAATAACACCAAATCCATACATGAATGCAGATGTTATATGACCAAGGTATGAATAGCTGCAGATATTATAATTACAGTAAAGACTTCAAGTTAGAAGCACGTCTGTTTCGTTATCGTGTAATGTTTTTCAACAATAATACTTGACGTAGTCGTAAAGTTCTTTGCCACTATGGTAATTGACGGCGTCATGAAGGGCTTCGCCGATACTTCAATTGACAGCTTTGCATAGTTTTTTTTTGCAACTGTAATTGGCGTCATCGTGAAATTGTTTGCGCAACGGTAACTGGTGGTGTCGTGAATTTCTTCGACCAGAAGGTAAGTGTAAAGGGCGTGATGATTTTCGTCGCTACTTCAATTGAAGATGGCATAAATTCCCTCGCCGCTACGGTAATTGACTGAGTCGTAAATTTCTCCGTCATGACAGTAATTGTGTGCGTCGTAAGTTTTTTGTCTGCACGGTAACTGACGGTCTCTAAAATTTCTTTGTAAATGAAACAATTTTCAGCGTCGTGAAGCTCTTTGTCGCTTCTGTAATCGACGTCATTGTGAAGTTCATTGTCACTACGATAATTTGCGTACTCATCAATTTCTTTGTCGTTTCGGTAATGACTTACGTCGCAAATTTCTTCGCCAATACAATAATTTTCAGCGTTGGTAACGCACGTTGATACGGAAATAGAAAGCTTGCCGAAGTTGTTTGCCAATACGGTTATCGACGTCGTCATTAAGCTCTTTGTTGCTGCGGCAATTTGTGTCAATGTGAAGTTTTGTGTGTCTGGAAATTATTTGTCACTTCGGTCACTGATGTTGTCGTGCAGTTACGTGCTTCCTGCAGTAATTGGTGTCAATGTAGAGCTCCTGGTCACTACGATAATTTGTGTCGACCTGAAGTTCTTTGTAAATACGGTAATTTGTATCGTTGTAAAATTCTTGGTAACTACGGTGTTGAAGGCAAGGAAATCGACTTCACTACTGATAAAATATACGTTATGGTAGCCTGCCTCTAACATCTGGTAATTATTAATATCAATTTAGCACTTAAAAATGGTAGAAATTCGTTTTCTGGCGTTGGATTGTATGTTCATTGCTGGAAGTTTTAGTTATTGCCACGTGTTTTCATTCTATTGAATCGCAAATTCCTCTCAGGATGTAAAATTGCATAATAATTTTGGCAAAAATACAACATGAACCTGAAAATCACAAGAAGACGAATAACTCCATGTTTTTCCATCAGTTTTTGGTTATACTATTTGAAATGTCTCGACAATAGTATAAAAATTTCTTTTTGCTATTTTTTCATGAAAATCATTCGACCGAGTCAAACCTCAGCATTACCTTGCTATAGTGCATATAATTGGTCATGTCATCATCGTTCAGCGTACAACGTCGCCCACAATAATCAAACAAGTGTTGCCAAACAAGAGTGCACGTGCCTTATGTGTTTCATTTAAGATGTACATGAATGTCATTGGTCAATTTAAAACAAAATTGTTTGATAACTGAAAATTATTTGTTTCAGTTCCGGATTTCACTTCGTTCACTGTTGATAACGTAAATGTGCACCAATCCTTCGATGTTCACTTCACCGCCACGTGCCCTGACGCGTACTGCTTTGAAATCAGCGTGAATGACGTCATCGTTCAATACCCAGTGACAACGGATACCACAGTTCCTTATGATGTACCGCTCTGCAGTAGCTCGACGTTCACCCTCGATGTCAAGAACTGCGCCGATGGATCCGACGCCGGATTCCCAACGAGTTTGCCGCCTTACCCTACTGCAGGTCAATGTTCGTCTCTGCTGTTTTGTTTCATTAAACTTTGCATGAAACTTATATTAACAATTATTTCAAATAATATCTCACGATGAGTTTTTATCTTTTATTACATATATCAGTGTAGACTCAACCAAAAATGCTAGTTTTCTAGAAATTTAGTGAATAAGAACCTTAACTATTTGCTAATTATTTTCTAATTTCACGAATTAGAATTTGAGTTGGATTTGGAAGTACTAAATCAACGTTTAAAAGAGGAATTTCATTCTATTTCCATAATGTATCGAGTAAGCTATATTTTATGTAGTCCTATGGTCTTTGACAAAACTTGCATGAAGGAAGAGCTTCTGTCAAACTATAATCATGAGATGTAGCGTGGAAAAAACGTTTTGTTACATTCAATGTAGGATGCGTTCTTTAATCGATTTCAAAATTTCAAATTCGATTTTAGAAAACATTTTCTGATCTTTACCTTACCTAACCTAGCATTAATTCCGGTTTATTTCGACCACTTCCAGGATTTCCATATGAGCCATATTTCTTTCAATTTCCATGACATATCTAAAGGAAATCTGACACAAAATATATCATAACAGATGTGGCACTGCACTGTGCTCTTAAATATTTACTTCTTTAACTCTTATATCCTTCTACGACTTCCCTCTTATACTTATCCAGCATTCAACTCCTCCTAAAATCCATATCTCCAATATCTCCATTCAACCCATTTTACCAAATATTTTCCTATAGTACTATATGGAAAGTAAGTAAAGGATTATTTTGCATTGGAATCTATATTTCACCGCAGGACAAGTGGATGGCTTGAACGTAGTCCCGTACAGCCCCCTGGGCAGTTGCTACGCCTACAGCTCTCTCCACACCACACAAGGCGATGCCAAAACAAGGTGCTCCAGAAACAGTTTGAAACTCATCGACTCCAGAAACAACCTTGATGCCTATAAGTTCTTTACGACCGTTGGTAGTAAGTTTATCAAAGAACACCTAATTTTTTAACATTTTTATTCGATTTTGTTTTTAAATATCGTCAACTCGAGCAAAAATTTCATGGCCTACAAGAACTTTAGGAGTCTTTGATCTGAAGTTTTCCCATGTTTTTCACTCACTTTATTTTTTTCGCTCTGAGGCTTGCATGGGTTGATCTGAAAATTCCACTTACTTTTACTCAAATAATTTTTCTATCGTGCAGAGGCTTGGGTTGATCTGAATTATAATGGAGTAAGCTGGACGTGGGGGGACGGGTCTACGCTCCTCTCGAACGATGCGCTCTGGGAACCAGGCTACCCAAAACTGCCTACCATAAGGCAGTGCGCGTTAGTCATGAAAAAAACCAAGCAACTTCGCAACGGCAAGTGCACGCGCAATCTGACCGCAACTTTGTGCATTCAATAAAACCGTTGCAATTTCGACCCCGTGAAAAACATGGTTAGTGAGGTGGATATAAATATCGGCGAATTAATCAGCATGCAAAACCTTTTCGGAATGCGTTTTATTTTTCTCAGAAATAGTCACCTGGAAGTCACCTGGAAAAAACTGGCTATTTTAAATGATCATCCAAAAATGTTTTAACTGGCTATCAAGAAATTATAACCTAAAGAGCTTTAACGAACTCCTGTATAGCCTCATCGGCAACACATAGCTTAGCTAGGCAGCGAATGGTCAAAATTTTATTGAAGCAATAAAGCTTCCAGCTTTTTCCCTGTATGAATTGCACTGCATTGATCAAGCTGTGAGGTGAAAATGAAAGCAATAAGTATAGATATGTTGGGACGCTGGTTAATCGAACTTCTGAATAGTCGAACCTTTGGATGACTGGACCACCCAATGATCATCGGATCACTGACTAATCGGACCACGAATAATTGGACTGACTACAATTGGACCACTGACTAATTGAACGTTTACGTATTTCTTGTCATTAGTTGTTCTCTGAATAATTTGTATTAACCACGCTTCATAATAATTGTTATTATTCACACTTCAGAAATGTTTATGTTAAACTTGCTTCAGAAAATTTTTCATTAAACATGATTCATAATGATTTTTAATGATCACGCTTCAGAAAAATTTGTATTAAACTTGCTTCAGAGTAATTTTTATTAACCTTGCTTCAAAAAATTTTGTATTAACCTTGCTTCGGAATAATTTTTATTTACCTTGCTTCAGACAAATGTTGTTTAAACTTGCTTCAGATGAATTTGTACTAAACTTGCTTCAAAAAAATGTTTATTAACTTTGCTCCGGGGAAAATTTGTTATTAACCTTGCTTCAGAATAATTTTTATTAACCTTGCTTCAGAAAAATGTTTATTAAACTTGCTTCAGAAATTTTTTTATTTAACCTGCTTCAGAATAATTTGCAATAACCTTGCTTTCTTTCACTTCTTTCAGGGGACGTAGTTTCAGTTCCATGGATTTTTGGCATGATATACGTTATCTTCTCCCATCATAATCAGACAAAAAACTGCACGAGGTTAACCCTAAAGAGCAAAATATTCACATCCTTTATCAAATTGAATGCCACAAATGAGAGAGTACTGATAAAGTCCATTCTGGGTTTTAAAATTGGTTCTCTTACGACGTTAGTTTTTAACAATCACTCAGAGGAATGAATGGGTCACGTTGTGCTAAAATCGACGCACTTCTGCCCGTAGCACTGGTAAGCATTATTGATATGCGTATTATTTTGTAGTTATGACCCACGCTATTTGGACAAAGACCAAGAAAGTAAAATATTTGTACCTATTATATTATTTTATAATATTTTATCTTATAAAATAGTTTTTTATAACATATCATTTTATATTGTATTCATTTTATATCATATCATTTTGTTTTATAATCTTTGGTGCGTTATGCAATAAATTTGTGGAATGAACTCAAAATTTTCACGTATATAAAAAGGGCTTTATTAAATTTTATTAGTTAAAATATAACTTCACTATCTATTTATTCACTGTCTATATAGGTTCGATAATAATTTTTTTTTACAGTATCAAAAAAAATACCGAAGAGCAAATTGACATCGCCCAGATATCAACTACAGTACCATTGTGGTCCAACGTGGCCTTTTCAGTGCCCACATGGGAGTTGCCGCCAGTCTCCAATCGCTGCGTAGTTCTCAAATGACTCATAGATTTGGCTTGAATTAGATTAAGTGAAATGTAGTTGGTATAAACCATTTTGAAGAGATGAAGTAAAGAGGTAGCCGATAAGGTTGTATAAATGCCGGTCTCCTGTGTGTTTACTCAGCGATTATTAGCAATATAGACTTCCTTTCGCTAGTGCGAAGAGTAAACTGTGCAGCGGAACTGTGTATAATAGACTGTAAACTGTGAGAATCAGGGACAGACTCGTTGCTAGGACATGAAACAGGCGCAAGTAGGACTATTATTTCGAGTCATTATGCAAGAAATACAAAGAGATTAGGCTATGAAACAGCTGTTTGTGCTTTTGTGCTCATATACGTAAGAAATTAGCATTGATGGCAGAATTTTCTTATTGAAACGCGTGCGTATAATGACCCGAGAATGCATTATATTACAATTTTCAGAGAATCAAAAATTCTTCAGATGACGTTAATAGATCACGAGGCAGGTCTCGGCAATTATACACACGTAAATAGGATACAACACGAATTTTTTTAAGTGGAAAATGGAAAACTATCTCAAATTTCAGACAATTCCGGTATAGTTTGTGAACGGACAGCTGGAGTCCAATCCCATAGACGAGGATTCCAGCAATCGTCGGTCGGTTAATTTTGGGCGCCACTGCATGATGACGATGCTGGTGGGTTCCTCCAGCACTGCATGATGACTATGCTGGTGGGTTCCTCCAGCACTGCATGATACCGATGATGGTGGGTTCCTCCAGCACAGTGCAAGCAAAGGTCTTGTGGGCTTGTCTCAGGGGGTTCTCCTGTTCTCTAATGACTGAAGTAGTCAAGTAAGACGGTCTCAATGTCGTGGTTTTTAATCCATTTACTCCAATGTAGCCCAAATGATGAAGTCTTCAACCTTCTTTGAAAGTAGAAGTAAGAATGAACTTATGATTAATAAAATATATGGCATTCAAATAAAATTCAAATTGGAAGTCTCGTTAGAAATGCTAAGGAATTGAATGAAATATTAAACTTACTAAGTGGAAGATTTATAGATAATGCCTTCAGTTTGCTACAGCTACAATAATTCGCCACCAATACCCTCGCTCGGGGATGTCATCCGCTTTTCAACTGCGCAGTGGCTGCATAATTTTTATAGATGTTAGTTAAGCCAGTTCAGAATTTGTGTTTAACTTACTCGAAGAATCAATTCAATTCTATACAGTGCAGTGGCTGCATTAATGCAGTATATGTTAGTCCAGCCGTTAACGAATCACATAGACTTAAGGGTAATGCTAGTGTCGCATGTCTTAGAGCAGGCTCATCGACTTGGCGTGAAATTAGACGCGTAACACCGGAAGGTGATTAGTAACATGCAGCAAGAGGAGATTTTGTCTTGCGAGGAATTGCTGTTGGCAGCGTGTGAACTTCTTAAGCCCGAAATATGGGTGCATCACGGGATGTTCGCTCCTGTCATCTGTTAGAGTACCGAGAGCGACACCAAGACGCAACGGGATGCTTTGATATTATATGTGGAGAAGCCGGTCTTGCATTTGCAATGTTTGTCATTACAATCCTCTTCAAATTATGAGGTCTAAAAATAATTATTTTTCGTCTCTGGTTATTGACAGAACCGTAAATAGGCCTTGTCTGGATGAAGGAGCTGCTAATAATGACAGCAAGGTAATTGGGTCCTGCGTCGAGGAGACGGAGAATGTAGTTAATTGCTGCAACGTAGCTTAGAGGGTGGACGTTTTTTTTAAGTGTATCTTTTTGTGCTGGCGCTATCGGGACCGAGATATTCTGTTGCCTAGTTGATACAGGAGCTCCAGTTAGCCTGATTAGTAATTTTTCTGTAGGAAGACTTTGATGTTGGTAACGATATTGTGAAGGTGAATGCAGAAAATAAAAATCCAACCGCGATAGATAACTCTTCAGCAGAAATGTATAATTTCCCTGAAGCTAGAGCATCTTGGGGTGGATACAGCAACCATGCCATTCGCGGTGGTTGACCAGAAAAATATGTCATGTTCGATGATGTTCCTGGGCATCCTATGGTTGTTTTTTGTACCCTTCCATCGCCGATTCAGATAGCCAACAAAAAACAGATATGAAGTATGCTATTCGTTAGGTGTAGAAATAAATGATGACCTTTCAAGTATTTCTGACGAGGATTCGAGATAAATATCAGATATTATTTTAAATTCGAGCATTCTGCGGCGGTAATCCAAAGAAGATAAGGCGTTATTAGGATGCTGAGGCAATCACTCAACCTGGGTCTGCACGCCGAATATTGAGCTTTGAATTTAAATATAATGTGGAAATGTCGTGTATCATTAAAGGTGGTGAAACGAGACAGGATTGGGCACAGAATTAGGGAAAGCAGTGATTATTTATATAAATATTTTTCACTCAGAATTGGGTATGACGCCTAATAGTTTTGTTCTCGAACGATGTAACGAAAAGCCGGATAAATTAATGATGAACTCTGAAGTTTTGAAAGTGTGGCGTGATGGACTTTATGCATTCGAATCGTTCGCGGCGTACGATAAATTAGCAATTGAATTTTAATAAGCTATCAGTAATCCTCTAATAAGCTATTGCAGATTTACGATTGTCAATATGAAGTGACGCAAGTAACAGCGTTGCTGCCTTGTCTAAACTGATTTGCTGGGCAATAACTCTTTGTAAGTCGTCTGAAACTTTGGTAGAGTTAACATCGACCGTTTGCTAGAGGCCCGTAGGAAGGTTTTTTAATGGTGATTCGGCTGCATCAACTAAATATGTATTTCGTCGGCATTCTAAATCGGCAGAAATGGGCAACTCCCAACAGGTAAGGACATTTGCAGTTTCGGGAACATTTTTGATTTGTAGTTTCAGCATTGCCGAACCCCAATTTACTGTTTCAGAATTACCAAAACGAGATTTGAGGTTTCAACATTACCGATAATACGACAGTACGAGTAGACCGAGACGCCCAGAAACAGGTCATACCATCTGGGAGTGTGGAAAAAAATGTAACGGCTAAACTACATCTCTCCGTCGTTCGAAAGCAATAAACTCATCAAATCTAAATGTTGAATGAATATATCGCTTGAGATTAATCAAGTTATCAACTTTCGATTCATCAGTGTTTAGATTAATCGCTTGATATTTATTTTGTTCAACAATTACTGTCGAAAGATTTCAACAACCGAGTAGAAGTCAGCACGCAACTGTTGAAAATCATTGATACTGAATCAAATTTTTAACTATTCTCGTTACATGTCAGACTTGGCTCAATTTTACTCAAGTTGTTATTCGAACAAGCGAAAATTCCCGTACGTAGGTATTAAAATCACTTGACTGCTTAAATCGCAAGTTTATCAAAAATTTAAAAGCAAAGAAAATAACCAAAAAATTCACCATTTCTTAAAAAGGAATGCTGTTTATTGTTCATTTCCTTACTTTGGTCCCGCTTCTGAATCTATGGCTAAAGAGTTGAAAGATTTGTTCTCTAAATACCTCCCAAATGTAAATCTTCATGTATTGCTGGTGAATAATTTTGAAATCAGTTCTTTTTTCAAGTATAAAGACACACTTCCTGTTTCTATTCGATCGTCCCTAGTTTATCAATATAGTTGTGCGCTATGCGCATCTGCGTATGTCGGTATGACATCTCGCAACTTTTATACTAGGCTGGCGGAGCATGAAGGAAGGAGTTTTAGAACAGGAAGCCTGTTTGCGCATCCCACTCATTCAGCAGTACGCGTCCATGCCGAGCAGTGCAACGTGCCAGTGTCCGATAGTGATTTTCGAATTTTAGCCTCCACGACCGGTGTTTCCGACTTGCGAATTCTATAGTCCCTTTATATTTTTAAACAAAAGCCTATTTTAAATGCCGCTAATAGTTTATATCCCCTCGAAATTGTAAATAGATAGATTTGTGCCCGTGTTTGCTTCATTCTTGTTTGTTTCTCATTTGACGATTTATGCATCAATGTGAATTTATTGCTAATTGTTTGTACCTGTGTTTTAGGTTTTGAACTGATGATGGAGCTGGTCTCCGAAACGTTTTCCTTTTTAAGAAATGGTGAATTTTTTGGCTATTTTCTTTGCTTTTAATTTTTGATTCCCGTACTTAGTATCATGAAGCTATCTCTTAAACAATTAAACTTCAGTTCAGAGTGAAAACGTGCCTGTATATAGGATACGGAGTTCATTTGGGATTTCTCGTCCATACCATTTTGAAGACAATAACGGCAGGGCAGTAATGGTGACATCGCAGGGTTAAATAATTTTATTCTACAAAGAGTCCAGCAAAGAAATTCTGACTTATGCTAATCAAATGGCATGAATCTCAATTGAACCTGGAAACTGCACCCCCATTGCTTTCCTCGAAATCTTATCATACGATAGGGTGACACACGTCACCTGCTCCTGATTTGTATGGTTTAATTTTTTCTCGTTGTAACACTTCAAACAAGAAGTGAATGGCCCCAAACCACAAAGCATTAGAGAAATAAAAGGCTAAATGACGACTGCAATTAAACAGATTCTCCTGCGTTTGCCGGCCAAAGTTTTTTTTTCCGGAGCTCATCTCAGTGGAGATGATTCCAATTGATAGCAACCAACATTAAATGCTTCTCAGTGTAATTTCATAATAAAAAGGTTTCATTATTTGAACAATAAATTTAGTCACTTTCATTTGCAGTAAAAATTTTTCAAATTCTTATGCCTCACCCTGAATTTGGGCCAATGGTCCTGAGCATCTATAAAGCCCGATGTGATAGGAACACTGCTACAGCTGGATGTGGTAGGAACACTGCTACAGCTGGATGTGATAGGCCCATTGTTACAGCTGGATTTGGTAGACACATTGTTACACTTGGATGCTGTAGGAACACTGCTGCTGCTGGATGGAGTAAATCTTGCTTCTGAACGGCAGTCTTTGTTGACCAACGGGTGAATTTTACGGTCAATTCGGCCGTGAGTTTGGCAGCCATTCGCCTCAGAACTTATTGGCATATTTATTTTCAACTCGCATAAGCTTCCGTCGCAAGTTAGCAGATGGCGACACTCCTTAAAAAGTTTATTTCTGATTTTTTTTGCATCTGTTTCGGTTATGCTATCCTTGGCGTTTACATTTTCGAGCGCCTCGTCAGTGGAAGCTAACAGAAATTTCAGTTTGCTCCTGAGGATGAGACAGAAATTTTCAATGTCGTTCACAACTTCAATCATCTTCAGATAGTTTTTTCTCTCTGTCTCGCTTTGTCTCAGCATTTCTATCGCGGAGACAATTTCCTCTTCAGGCAACGGAGGTAGTATTCTGGTAGGTAATTCAGGTGCACCTGATCCTCTGTGGCTGTAATCTCCTTTGTGCCTTCCTGACAGGGATGAGTATCGACGCTCAGCAGAAATCTTCAAATTTTTCTCACCGTAAGACTTTCCAGACTTGAGCATCATGTCTTCACGAGTGATAAGAGTTGCCGAGGCGGAAATCGATTTCAATTTCCCACTGTCAACCAGTTCATGGGCCCAAAGTGCAGCGCCTTCAGCAATGGCTTCTTCGGCGTTGACGGTCATGTTGAGTTTTTTTATCCCAAAGAAATCCATAACGATCTGCTGAACTCTGGGAATCCGACTACTGCCTCCGACTACGATAATTTCTTTCACTTCAGTTTTTGCAATTTTCGCAGTTTTGACAAGTTTACTGAGAATAACTTGCACCTTTTTGTCCAAAGTTCTTATGAAAGTTTCTTCAAATTGTCGCCGCGTCATTCTGCTTTTAAATTTTGCATTAAATCTGCCCTGGTTGTAACAATCTACCGGCGAGTCTTTCATGAATGTCAAGTTGATCTTTATTTTCTCGCACGCATGCTTTTTGCTCAACAAACTTTTTGAAAATTTTGGATTATCATCTTTACTTCTAAGGCTGGTTCTCTTTTCAATCTCTTTCATCAGCACCCAATCTAAATAGTCTCCCCCTAGGTCCTCATCCCCACTCGCTGCCAGCACTCGCACCTCCGTGTAGTCAACGCTTAACAGCGACGCGTCAAGCTTTCCTGCCCCCATGTCGAAAACCAAGACGTTGTGCGCCTGTCTAAGATTGAGGCACTCACTGAAGGACGAATTTTGGGCCGAACCTGTATTTTCCACTGACCTTATGTTGTGCCGGTAGGCCAAAGCCGCTGCCTTTGGTTCACAGATGAGATCCAGCAACTCCAGGTCGGCTATTTTACACGCGGTTACAATCGCCTCGCGTTGGGATCTGGTGGTGCAAGCGGGCACCGAGACCACGGCGCCCCCAATCTCCCCCAGCGCTGCTTCAGCTTCCTGCTTCATCCTCAGCAGCAGCATTGCAGCCACAAGTTCTGGTCTCAACGCCATAAAGTCTCCATTACGGAGAAGTATTATCATCGGTCGGTTTCCCTCGTAAGTGATGATCGCGTATCTTTCACTGTAGCTGGTAACACTTTGGTCCTCATAGGCTCTTCCTAGAATTTTTTTGACTCCATAAATCGAGCTCATAGAGCTGAACAGCGCCTGGTCTTTTGCCTCTTCCCCCACCAGGTATTGCACGTCGTTGAAGGCCACCCAGCTGGGGGTCGTCTTGTCCCCTCTTGCGTTCGGCAAAACTTCGGCTTTGCCGTTCATGACGGTCGCCACGCAGCATTTTGCCGTGCCGAAGTCGATGCCGATTGTTGGCTTCGCCATCTTCCTGAAATATCAAAGACAGAATAAACTTGCGCATATAAAAAGATTTCGTTTCTAACACAAGTGAATTGATGATTAGTCTTTTGTTCCTAGAACACAGATTATTGAATTCGAACTCACTCACTCGGAAAAAAAATGAATTTTCCTATTGCCCATTGCTCAGACACTTTCTCAGTAAAGCACCAATGAACCAATTTTCCAGGCTAAACTGGGTCAGGATGACCCTCATCGCCACTTGAACAAAGACTCACTCGTTTCTCCGAATGAATTGTCTTTACTAATGTAAATGAAATGGATTTTTGGACATCTGGGACAATAAATTTTCAGTAATTTTAAAGTTTAATTTAAGCAGGCTGGCCATGGCTGGTACCGTATACTATCATGTAAATTAATAACATAAAATTAAGTATTCAAAATCAAATTAAATTTCCAAGGCAATACATCATATTCTTATAGAAAATATTTCGTAGTCGAGCTCTATCATCAATTCAAAAGTTTTAGAATTCAGGTACAATCAGTAGTTAGTACAGTCGACACTATAAATCTAATTTAAATCTAAATTTAGGAATAAAATACAAAGCCAAACCGTTAACAGATTGACGGTTTGGGCATGGGTAATCAACTCGGCCCAAACTGTGTCAATATTTTTATGTGTTTTCATGAGGATTCTTGTCTGTCCAATTATCCTCTGAATTTTGTGCCAACATTCTACAGCAGATATGTACTATAAATATATATTTTAATTTCGAGCATTCCTCTCACGTCAAACGCAATCCCACCAAACATAGTTCCATAAAATCAAAAACACCACCCATTAACAATGTTTGCCGACTTCCGTATTCGAAGAACCAACTTTCACCTGTCATGTCCAGTTTTTAGCGCATTTTCTCATTTATGGAAAAATGCACTATTGTGCTCGCCATGTCCGTCTGTCTGTCTGTCTGTCCGTCCGTCCGTGACCTCGAGTTTTCGTCGACGAGAAAATGCGCTCTCTGTCACTCACTGCAGTGAGCACTGAATTATAATTTTTTAGCTTCGTTCATTTGGATTTAAAGCTAATTAGCTTCAACCATTATGTCACCGAAGCGTTCGCATTTTTTTACAAACCTTGCTGTGCACGCTGAGTTGTAATTTTTGCTCAATTTCTTCTTGGTCAATGGACTTCAAACAAATCTAATGTTAGCCCAAATAAAGAAAATCATGTTCAAACGATGCGTTGAGGTTGTTCACGAGTTCGACAATAGAAACGCTATTTATTGTTCTTTTCCTTACTTTGGCCCTGCATATGAAACAATGTAAAGCGAGTAAAAACTTTTGTTCCTGAAATATTTCCTATATAATTGTCATCATATTTTCCGGTCAACAATTTCAATATCGGGTCTCTTTTTAGGTACAAAAATATTCTTCCTATTCATGAATGTCTCCGGTTTGTAAATACTATTGCGCGCGCGGTGCATCTGCGAACGTTGGGATGACGTCACGCCATCTTTATTCTAGGGCCACAGAGCATAAAGGGAGGAATTGTAGGATTGGCCACTTGTTATCGCGCCCCCTCATTGGGCTGTGCGTACACGATCACGCCGAGCGGTGTTCCTGTATCTGACAGTGACTTTAAGGTGTTAGCTTCAGCTTTCGGTGCTTCCGATTTGCGTATTTCAGAATCCTTGTACATTTTTTAACTTACGCCCAGTTTGATTTCACTTCTGGCTCCTATCCACTTGAAATGGTAATTAGATTTGTCGTTTTCCTTTTAGTCGTTTGTCTTTTATTTGTAGATATAGGTCATAATTTCAGTTTTTTTGTTTCGACTGCACTTACTACTTATTGTGTCAGCATCATAAAATTCCTTAACTGAAGATAGCGCTGGATTCCAAAACGTTTTCTATAAAGATATATGATTTCTTTACTTTAAAATTCAGCGAATTTGCGATTCGAGCAAACGAGTGACTTGTATTCTTATGAAACTGTACTAAATTTAGATCGATTTCATAATATTTTACAGTTTTAAAATCAGACAAATGGAGAAATAACTTATTTTCTTAAACTGGAATATTCAGACATTAAATTTTCTTCTAATTGAACCATTCTCAATCAATGACAATAGACTCGTTTGGTTACAGTGAGAGAAGTATTCTTGACTTAATATATCTCTAAAACTTTCATCATTATCAATTAGAAACTCGTGAATTTCACCACTTCGATTATCACACTAAAAACTCATTGTAATTACATGTTTTGGAAATTATCTCACCTTGAATTATCATTAATTTTACTGAAAATTTTTCACCATTACCTCGCTGTCGCTTGAACAGAACCTCCGCGTCCACCAGCGAGCTTGGAATGAGTGCGATCGAGTCGCCCAATCGATGGTACAGAAAACTTCGGGTTTATCAAGAATTTCTGCTTGCACAAAAATATAAATTTTCCACACATGTATTTAGTAACAGTTGAGAGTTAAATCATTATCTCATAATATATTATTCCTCAGGTGAAGACGTAAGCTGTTTCTGTAAACATAAAAGTTCAAATCCCAATCCGATTGTACTGCGTTCGTTAAGAAATTTCCGTATCCGGAAATTTCTTGATATTTGGCATCAGTATTGCCACGTATTTCTGTATCCAAGCAACGCCTTACAAACATGACTGCACCTGAGGTCGTTACAAACACGTATTATACGACGAAAATAAATCTAATGTCTCTTGAAAGAATACAAGATGAAACATGTATATAATTTAGTTGCACAATGACCTAATAATTAAACATTCATCAATATTATAGTTTATTGAATTCAAATTTAATCAAATTCAACTTTTTTAACCTCAATTTCAGTTGGAATTTTTGGTCAATCGAATAATATAGCGGCCAAATTACCAAGCCTTCTGTCAATGTCGTATTTATTTATTTTTATTCACTGACGAACCTCACTCAAGATTGCGTTATCATTCAAAATTATAAAAAAGCAATTTCAACGATAAAACTTGTATGTGACGCGGTGACATGCAGAACTCGGCTGTTGGGTTTTAGAGCCAACTTCACAATTTAATTCCGTTCACTTCATGGATGTTATGATTCCAATTTGTTGTGGCCTATTTCCGCCGTGATTTTAGCGTTTCATTCATTATTTATGATAGCCGTGTTGTAAAGAAAGATCAGATCAATTATTCCTCGTATAATCGATCGACAAATAAGTCTTGAAAAATACGGAGCGTGATGTTCATAATTCCAGTCTCATTCATTTCCGATGATATAGTTCATAATTAATTTTTAGAAAACCATTTCGTTACATGCCATTCTCTCATGAACTTACCTTCACTAGAATTTATTTTTCCGTATAAATAATAATAATATGATTTTGATATCATTCCCGTGTTTAATGCGTCATAATATTTTCCAACATGCAACTGCCGAAATCAGTTGATATTTAATGCAAAAATTCGTTAAACTCTCGCCGTTGCCTGCAATATTGAGGACAGACAACCTCACGTCAGTCCTTCCTCTGTTGATTCAAGGGAGCACTTCATTGAATCAAGGGCGCATTTTTAGCGCATTTTCTCATTTATGGAAAAAATGCACTATTGTGCTCGCCGTGTCCGCCTGTCCGTCTGTCTGTCCGTCCGTCCGTCCGTGACCTCAAGTTTTCCTCGACGAGAAAATGCTCTCTCTGTCACTCACTGCAGTGAGTACTGAGTTATATTTTTTTAATCAAGGGCGAATTTTGTTTAAGAAAAGGGCCATTTTAACCTTTGGTGCCCTAAGGGCTACCTCTATATGGTATGTAGGAATGGCATATAGAGCATATATTTTCCTTACACGTAGGAATAACAATGAAGAAGGTTGAAGTAACCGTAGACGAGTGACCCTATATGAACATCTGCGTTCATCTTAAAGTTATCACATTTACATCATATTGTGATAAATTCAATTTATCACATTCAATTTTGTCCTAAAAGGTAAAAATTGAGAACCTGGAAGATTTTTTATTGGGATAATGTTATTATACTTTCAATTGCTGATAGAGAAAAGAGCCTTTATAGTTGATTCCATTTTTCTTAATGAAGTTTCACTTATCAATGTTTTGTAGTGACGGAACCTTGACGAAAGTTAGTTAAATTAGTAAATTATTATTCAAAAATGGTCGTTTACAGTATATATCTTCAAATTTTATTCTTATTCCTTAATTTGTCCTGGAAAAGTCATATACGCTTCAAACATTATTTACCTAAATACCTGAGTATGATATTAAATGAAAATTACCCATAAACTCCCTCTATCACCATGAGATTAAATGTACTATGTACTATTAAAAGACGATTGCATATTCATTATTGAACAAGTACCCCCCAAAATCCGCATACAGATAATGGCGAATGTCAGGCGAAGCGCCGCTGACGGAAGAAAATTTAAATCAACAATCATAAATTTCTCCATAATATGAAAGCAAAATTACCCTATAATTCAAAAGCAAAATAACCCCATAATTTGACAGCGAAATTACCTCATAATTTGACAACAAAGGTCCCCATAATTTGAGTGCGAAATTACCCCATACTTTGACAGCAAACTTACCCTATTATTAGAGAACGGAATTAATATGTTGCCTGGTAACCAACAGCTGAATTCGTCCCTGCTGAACTTAGACAAAAATTTATCAGGGATTGGATTAAATATTAGGGAAATGCATCCATCACGGGCTGGTACCATGGGCATACAGTTGATACATCAGGGTTACCCTAATGATACAGTTGATACATCGTGGAAAAGGGCTGCATTTTCAACAATAATGAATTATATATAAAACATTAGCTCACAAGTTGCTTTGACAACCCTGCACTGTTTGGAACCATAAAAGAGCAAAAATTTAACCTGTGTACAACTTAATGTTATACAAGTATCTTGTGTCTCACACGCGTGCTCAAGGTTAGCTTTATAAATAAATCGTTTATTAGAGAAATAAAAATTCAACATCGCATATACGTTGACTCAAAAGCGGCACTTTACTCGAGTCTCATTAGGACTCAATTAATTATTAATTTATTATTAATAGCGGTTCCAGCGTTTATTAGGCCGTAGGCCTGTCGCCGATTCTTAACATCGCAGAACACTCACAGCATTTTGCGGTCTCGAACTCGCAACTCACTGCTACAATTCTGCTGTGCTTAACCGCCCGGCCTCCACGCCGATTCTGACCAGAAACTGGCGCACAGAGCTGGGATCGAACCCGCGCCTCTCTGCGCCAATCTTGGTACTCTGAACTGTAACCACTGGGTCCAGGGTCACCCTGCTCAGTTTAAGGACACAAGGATCTTTAAGGACTTTAAGGTTTAAGGAAGGACTCAAGGACACGTCGAAACATGGAATGGATCATATTATCCAAATTTTGACACATATTCTGTACGTGGCACTCACTGATTCGCCATTTTGCTGGGTCTCGATGACCCACCTAAGGGTTAAAAATGCTTCGGTATTTGGACAAAGTTTCATTAATTGCTCTGAATAAAACTGAAATTTTCCTACAATTAGTGCAGAAATTAGGCACAAAATCCAATTTGAACAGTTCATCTGGCTTTTTGCGATCCTATCGAGTTTACTTGATCCTATGAAATTTTTTTTTTATTTAGGGCGATTCATAAATCCAATTTGAATATGGATGAGATCCACTTTATCGGTTAAAACGGTTCTTAGTTCTACGATGGTCGTAACTTTAGCTTGCGTCGTTGGGGGTACAAGACCAGTATGGTTATTCTGTGACCTTATAATGATGTTGTTCTTTATTAAAGAACTCATTAGGAAAAATGTTGTAACATTCACGCTTATTGACCACATCTAATCCAATAAACATCTAGAAAAACAGTGGACCTTATCATAAATCATATTGAATTCAGGCGATGAAATGAAAATTTTTATTTGGAATTTAACGTCTCCGCAGTTATAGTTTTACAATACTATACATACGCGGAATGCTATAGTGCTGTGCTACCTAAAGTACAAAAAATTAAAAATCAGTTCTACTGTAAATAACTCACGACATCCATCTTGTTGGTGTCACACTAGCTAGATAAAAGAATTAAAAATTATAGATCTAGTAGACCAATGTCAGGCTCACTCCTGAAAAGTAGTATCACGTAGGATTCAAGGTTGTAAACATTAACTTTATTAAAATATATGAAACTACTGCATGGGATTGTCTTTCTTATGTTGCAATTGCTGTGGTTCAGGCAACTAAAATGCTACACAGGGTAATTGTGTGGCGTGCTATATGTGTTAACGCTTATTATGGAGATAAATGGTTAGATGAATATTAGAATCAAGAACTCTGATTCACTAACACTCCATTTCACAATCTGATATTGAAGTGGAATTTCTGGCAGCAAATGCCGAAAATTTTACCTAGCAGTTCCGCCTCGAAATATTTAGCGTGGTGATACAACGATCCATGCAAGCAGTTCAATGTTCCCCTGAACTGAGTTAGAATAAACGTGCAGAAAATAAAGATGTTGGTCACGAAGCCAACAACGAAAAAATGAAATTCGTGAATTTGGTTCGTGGATTAATTAACATGACATCGATGCTGCTGTCAAATTATAAACTAAAATCTTCCTTTCCTTCTTCGCGATATTGACAACCTCTTTCGATCAATTATCTTATTTTCGGTTAGTTTTCCTATGTTTCGGTGGATATCTTCTTGATTTTGTTAAAATTCTTGGTTCTTGGAGTTCTGCAGAATTTCGACGTCGAGTCGCGCGTGATCGATTCTGGATTCGTACTTGTCCAGCTCCGGATCGTGTTGGGTTCTTCTTCATTCTAGTTGAGGGATAAGTTCAGAACTATGCCCACCCACTGAACGTTCAAGGCTTTTTCAACGTTATTCCCAACGTTCGTTGAAGTTGCTCTCGCAATAATTAAACACTCGCGTGGTGCGAGGTTGTCTCAGGGCGAGAAGTTGTCCAAAGTCCAACCAATGGCATATTGCCTATTTAAGTCACGCTTTCATATCACATATAAAGTATCACGCTTTTAGGGAAATATAGGATTTAGTACCTTTATACTTTATTTTTAATTTTTCATTACATAAGCGGACGTTAGATATGTAAGCTCCGTCACTTCTAGTCAATGTGTTATTTATATTTGAAAGTGTTTTTTATTTAGAATATTCTGTGTAGTTAGACTAATTATTCGGGAGAAGTGTTTGTTTATACTTTGACTACCTTCATAGATTTGTTCAGGTTATTTACTCTTTGTTATTTTTAGGAGAGTTGTGAATTGTGGATTTATGGATTCAAGAGTAAAGACACAACCGAATTGCCTT